CTTAAATCCAACTGCTAGAATATTGAGGATAATGGTACGTGTTGTGTCAAAGAAGAAACTGAGAGTGGCTGGGAACGCTGAGGTAAGCAAGCCCTGTGGCCGTAGATTACAGTTGAACCCATCAGTGTGAATGCAGAATTTTCTTTTTGTTTTTACTTGTGTATCACTTCTGTTGTTGTGTGTGCTGTGCCTGCGAGGCCTGGCCTGAGTCCATCACAGCACACAAGCAGAATCACAAGGCAGTCTTTGGGAACGGATTCTCCCCTTTTAGAGTTGGATTCCGGATTGAGCTCAGGTCATCACAATCAACACAATTCTCCCGCACACAAGCCACAGCTGTTTTTATACCACTGTTGTGTTCACTGCCTGTCACTGTCACAGAAGTCTAAGTGGTCTTGCCAGTCTATGTCCTTCCTGCCTTGCATGGTGTCTGCTGTATTCCTTGTAGTTAATGTTTTTTTGTGAATTCAAAACATAGCCACAGAATATATGCCAATGGAAAAGAATATGAAAATATTTACATAAATTTACTATGTGTGGATGAGGAAAGAGCATTTGCCTAGCACTTGAGAGACCAACCCTGGTTGCTTTCCAACACTGGAGAATAAATAAACCAACAAACAAACTTACTCTGTGTTAGGTCCTAGGGATGAAAGAGTAGAACGTAAAATTCTGTTTTACAGGGTTCTCATTGTTGTCGATTTTATAACATTTCTATTTTGTGGCGGTGTGGTTGTGGTGAGGTGCCCGGTTATGTGAGTGCCGTGGTATGCAACTTGCCAAAGTCAGTTCCCTCCTCCATCATGTGGGTCCTAGGGCCCAAACTCAATACACTAGGCTTGAGCCTGCCTTTAAAACAACCCTCCCCCCACAAATTATTTATTTTTAAGAGAATGGCTCTTATAGTCCAGGGTAGGCTCCGACTCTCAGGAAAAAAAAAAGTGGCTTTAACTATTGATCTCTCTCTGTCTCTATCTCCCAAGTTCTAGGATTACAGATGTGGACCACTGTTCTAGGTGCTATGATAAAAAAAAAAAAAAAAAAAAAAAAAAAAAAAAAAAAAAAAAAAAAAAACTCTCACCAAAAGTCATGTAGAGCAGGAAAAGAATTTATTTCGCTTATACTTACTTCTAGGTCACAATCTACCGCTGCAGGAAGTTGGATGAGAAACTCAAGCAGGAATCTGAAGGCAGGCCTGCTTGCTATCCCATGATAGCAACTCTAACCAGGCAGGCGACTCACTCATACCAGGAAATACAGCAGACAGTGGGGAGGAATGCTACTTGGTGACTCATGCACGCTCATGCTCCGCTAGCTTCATTACACAACCCAGAACTCCTTGCCTAGAGACCACACACAGTTGGCTTTGCTCTCCCACGTCAGCTAACAATCAAGACAGTCCCCTATAGGCATGCCCGCGGGTCAGTCTAATGGAGGCAACTCATCAAATGAGGCTCCACTCCTGGGTGTTGCCTGGTTGGGTCACCTACAGATAAAACTAACCCCACAGCCACCAGCCACCGTGCTTGGTTCTCATGTGGTTTACAATCTAGAAGAGGGAGAAGCAAGATATCGCAACTCTGCATGATTAGGGCTGTGGTGGGGAAGTATGGGCAGTATAGTCTGCATGGGAGAAGCTCCTACTCTGTGGGCTCAAGGAAGATGATCACAAAATACTCTCTAAAGGACATGCTCTCCTAGTGAAACCTGATAGACGGATGACTTGGTCATCCAAAATACGAGGAGGTAGGTCAGAGGCGAAGTAGAGCAAATGTCAGAGTGAGGCATACTGTGGAATGTTCAGCATGCTAAAAAAAAAAAGTCCTTAGGATAGGCTATGGGGGATAGTTTTGCATGTGCGCATGCACGCACAACCATACCCATACCCACACCCACACACTTGCAAGTCCGCTAGTCTAGATAAATAAGCTAGCGTCATTCAGCCAATCAAATTTAGGAAATTGGATGAGTACTGAAAGGTTGCATGCAGAAGCTACATGATCAGTTTTATGTGACACAAACTGTATGGGGACAAGTAGTTAAATATTTGGAGAGAAAAAGATCCTTATCTCAGATTACATCAAAATTGATCCCAGGTCAGTGAAAGACTTGAATGCTTAAAAATGAAAATATAAAACTTCCAGGAGAGTTCTGGCCAAGATGGTCCTCCAAAGCTCCCCGTCAATTCCACTTGCGCCAACAGTCAAAGAAAACTGGTCTCCTCCAGAGACCATGACGCATGAGGCTGTAGTCTTGAGGAGGTGGAAAGACACGGACACAGCAGAAAATGACTGAACAAAGTTGGCCTTTGGAATGGCGATTGGTCTGCAGCATCTGCAATCTTCTTCTAGAGTAGGAATTTCGAAATGTTAGCCTAGGAATTGCTTTGGGATTAGTAGCTGGAGTCAGAATGTGGGTAGCCATAAAACAGCCA